CGTTTTTATCTGAAACTCCTGTCAATGCGGTGGAAAACTCATCAATGAAATAAGAATAACTGCCTCCGTATCAACGCAGAGTGCGGTAGATCGCAGTCAAGTTACACAGTAGATCACGCGATTATTATACTAACAAGTCGTCGCTGTGGCTTCCCTTCACATTTTACTCAGCTATGAACCTTTTCTGCTACTTCGCTTACCGGCCAACTCACGGGGCGGGGAGCGGGGTCCGAGGTGGAACAAGCGATCGCGCTTGAAATATTGTTAGTCAGTTGGGTATTTTCTTCACCACATCGACAAGAAAATTGAGATAAAGAGTAGATTCCGATGAACGGAGAATTTCTACACGCTGATATGTTTTTCGTGCTTCCAGCAATTTACACGCGTGATAAAAATGAAAACGGAAAACAAGTGAGAAACGAAATATTCTGGATGCCACAGCGATATAGAAGGATGTTTCGCAAAAACAGGCAACGCTTAGTTGTAGGCAGAAGATAAAGCTTTCTAATGATCATAAATACATCCATGAAGATTTTTTCACAGCGAAAGAGGTCGATCTAAAGATTGTGGCGGCGTCTAACGTACAATTACCAAAAATTTTACATCACCTTTACAGCATAATATAAAAACCATCTGAGAAGCAGTAGAACACAACCTTTCAGATTCTCAGATCCAAGCTGTCCAGCAATTTGCTGAAACTCAAAAGGATAAAAGTACTTTCTGAGTATGGGTGCGGGGGAAAGCACGAGAATACTGTCTTAGACAATTCGGCCGATAGTTTGCATTATGTCGATGTTCTCAACCCTTTAATCAAACACGGTTGTCGCTTATCGCTCAAATTTCTTCCACTATCCATATGTACTCAATCTTTTCTCACGTGCGTCAACTCTGAATAATCAGAATTAAAGGAATGATGATAACTTAGTTATAGTGAGGGTTTTTGATGAACACGTATCCGAATATAGCATGTATAGTAAATTTCGACAAATCGCTAGCTGTTCGCTAGGTTCTTATTCACTATGGTGACTCTTGGACCTTGTGTAAAGACTCGAGCAGAGCAAAACTGAAAGCTTTTTCTGATGATTTCCTTTGTTTAATGCTACACAACTGCTTGAATGCCAAATTCAGTACGATTGCTCAGTAAACGAGGCTTTTCTCTACAGAAGGATCGTATAACTAAACCAAAAGCTTATCAGCGAGTAGAGGAAATCGTGTTCTATCAAAGTAATGCAAAAATTGCGAAAATGTTTGCCAAACAAGGAAAAAGACTCAGTCAAATAAAGAAAATGCGGCAAATGCTCTGCGCGCATCGATTTCTAGAGTCAGTTCGTAGGGGTTAAAGTTGTCATGTGGGACAAAACACTGGTTCGATGGATCATTAGAGCCCTTCACATCACCGTATAGGCAGTTATGTATTTCTTGAGTGCATTGGTATGAACAGAGCTCAATGCACGGCACAACTCTAGGAGATAAGGCAAGTGTGATGCATCAACTACTGCTCTTCATTTCACATCTGAACTTCCGGATTAGCCGAATCGTGCAGTGAGCATTCCGCCATTTGGTTGAGAGTTAGTTAGATGCAGAGTCAAAAGTTTTTCACAGGTGTGGCGACGTATTGCATAGGGAGCTGCCAAAGTTGTCAGCGCATGAAATCTCTGAATTTTGTAGATCCGAGAAGATTCGCGCTGCTGGTTCTGATATCCACTAAATGCACTTGCTTACTGCTTGCGTAGTTTTGAATACTACTTTTTACAATAACTTAGCGCGACCCGTTATCACGGAGCTGCTGTTGCGAATCCAGTACTTCTCCATCCATTCGTACTTGCATCATCTTCTGCAAAGATCCTCAAATGTCTCACCTGTTACTTTGGCTGCTGCATAGGAATTCCAACTTCTTCATGGATGTCGTAGAATACTGGACGAGGACAATCGTTCTGCATTCTTGGGCGTTCACCTTGTAAGCGTCTTAAGTGATCAGCTGATTAAGTTGCGAGAGTATCGAGAAAAACGATTCAGCCAGCTCCAAGTTTCACTCTGCTCCGTGATACACGACATCACTCACCACTGTGGCATCCTGCACAGTTTTGAACAATAGCTTGTTAGATATCATAATTCTGCACCAGCGACTATCAATTTGCATCAACACATAGTGACATTTCCTGGAACCACAATCCAAGTGTACGTCTATGTCAGATTTTCGTGGGAAAAATCTGGCGCATCAGTAAGATGTTACTCCAATGAGAATTTCGCATGTGTTCCTACTACTCACCAAGGCTGACAAACGATCCAAGAATTCATAATATTATGCTCAAGTGTTCCTTAACTACCCTTGAGCATGATGTATGCGAGGAAACCAATCAAATGCAAGAAGTGCTGAAAGCCACACATATGATGTCGCGTTTTGTAAATATGGAGAACTATCTAATTGCCTCAACACTGATCACAGTTACCATTGAAAAACCCGAAAAAATTTTTTTACAAATCTAAGATAAAATTACTTGTTGCTACTATTTACAGCGTTAAAACAGGCCATGGGGCAGTTCGTGAGCCAGTTGGTCTGCTAAAAGGCAATGGCCGCTTTCATGCGCTCTTACATTATTCAAGCGTAACGTCGTAAGCGGTGTGGACATCCTCAGTGAATGACTGGTAGGTAACCTATGCTTTAATTTCCACTTCATTCTAACTGAAACGTTTCACATATCTTTTTTTCCACCTGGAGATCCCAGCACATCTACCAGTTATATGTTTTTTGTGCATAAAGCTGGCTGAGTACACCTCTATACAATCTCGGGGATGGCCGGGCCGTGGTGTTCCATAGGACTACCGATGGTAATTACCGGGTGGCGCTGGGGAGTGGGGATCAGCCTCTCGCCGCGACAATCATCAGGAGCACTCGGCCACGATTCGCCCAAGTGGCCTATATTGTATATGGGAATCCTGCTAGTATTGATGAATTTATAGTTTGAAGAAAATAACAATACGGCTTAGTCAAAGCAGACATCTGGGGGTCAAGTGACGGAGACTTCGATCTCGCTCCTATTTAGTTGCGAAGGTCGAATCGGTTAATGCGTTAGTCTTTCATGAGCCTCAGATCTATTGAACTCAGTTAGGTTTTACAAGTTTACATGAAAATCTTTAGTGCCACGTCGTAAGCCGTGCCCATGAACTACGCAGAGTTCAGACTTTTATAACAGTCGAGCCGAACGCCCGCTACAAGTAAGTTCATTTAACGCATTTCGGAACAGGATGTATCTAATTTGAAGTTTTGGAGACCTTACTCACAGGACTCGGGCGGTTGCCCTTCGTGTGATGAGTCTAAGGTCGAAAAAAAGGGTACAGGGCCTTCTATAAGTTTGCCCTCTAACAGATCACATGGACATGTTGGCTCGAATAATAATTGTTAGATATGTTCAAATTTGAGCGTGTGGTCTAAAGAAAACACTCGAAAACGAAAGGAGAATAACATAGTGTTTCACTGGCACTTCAATTTGTTAGCTTGGCTAAGGTGTTTGGGCGGCTTTTCGCTATATCATTATTTTTCGTCGGTGGTCCAGATTTTGTCGATTTCAATGCCACAATCTCTTTCCAAACAGTTCCGAACAGAGTGCTGTTAAAGCGAAAGGAAAAATCAGGTGTTGTGCTTGAAATAATTAGCTCGTCGTTGGAATTTCATAGTGGGTTTATTAAGCAGTGTGAAGTAAAGAAATGGCTTCTACCTTTAGGAAAGGTAGGACACATTTTCTTCTACAATTTTCAATTCAAAACCTGCAAATGTTTTCGAAGATGAAAAAGTTTTTCAAGTGGATAACGACATTCGCGCGCTTGTTGAATAAAGCTGCGTGCAGCGAACTCGGCGAGCACCTCGAAAGATCTCGTATACGGGAAACACAGATTTCGTTATCGATTCCAACTTTTTCCGCTTCGATGGAATCTCAAGATTCTTGTAATCAATTGTGGAGGAAACTTTGCTTCACCGTTCTATAGGTACGAACTTTCTTTTTGCTTCACTATGCCAAGTAAATTCGCTAAAGAAGTTCAAGCGTTCTAGCTACCCGTTTGAGTGGGAAAACGCGATCTTCTTCTTGCTTTAACAACAGTCTTTGTGAACCGAACAGAATTCTCTTTTCTATTCAAACCGCATCTAGCAGTAGTGTAATGTTACAAATATACCCACTGATGTGTAGAGTGATGCGCAAAACTTTTGCGTTGGGTGATACGCGAGCCCACATTCCACTCCATCCAGGGGCGGCGTGCTCGAACGTTGCGCTTCCGACGCCTGTTTTTTGTTTTTTGACTCCAGTCTTACTACGCTACAACGCATCTATCTGTCCAGCAAGCAACCGTGAACGGTATGGCACGGTGTACCCGCCATCGACATTGAACTCAGTCACGCTGACCGATATTAGATATTAGATGACCAAGCAGAATTTTTTTTTTTTTGTTATTAGCCTTGTTTCTATTTATTCAAATTGGGTTTGAAAGCATTTAATTTATTCACTCTATTAATATATAAGAGCGCATATGGCACAGTGCTTAGAGGAGCTCCGCGTCGCCCACGCGGTCAGTCATTCGATTTTGCGCTCATGGCTCACTAAGCCATCCATCCCTCCAGGGTCGGTAAGTTGGTAACCAGACAGGTGCCAGACCTCTCTAGGAAGATGAGCAGTACTGATTCGGTTTAGTGGAAGACCACCGCAAGTAATCGTAAAAACCAGATATGCATTCAATCACCTCAAACAAAGTTTAAAATTGAAGACGAATGCATGGCGCACCCCTCAGAGATTGATCAACGCCAAAAGCTTTATCTTTCATAGAGCCTTTATTATTTTTTAGCATCTCACGATCTCTAGATCCGATCACATATTATTTGATCATCAAACACCCAATATCTGTCAGGGTGACCGGGTCTAAGGTCGATATCGAATACCCGTGCCATACTGCTGCTGTTAGTTACTGATAGACAGATACGTTGCAGCGTAGAAAGAGTGGTGTCGAAATAGACATCGGTAGTACAACGGTCCTACCACGCACCCCTGGACAGGGTGTTTTGTGGGTTCGAGTCTCATCTGACGCAAATCACTCTACATCAAAGGGTGTATCTATGCAAATCTTTTCCGAAGCCAATGATAGTATCAAAATCGTCAAAATCTGGGCTATCGAGTAACTATTTATGCAACTAATGATGTTGAGTGACGTGTAAAACTTCGACACCAGGCGAGACTCGAACCAACATTTCACCCTTTCCGGGGGGTGTGCGCTTAACCAATTGCACCACTGACGAATGTTGTGCCACTACTCTACCTAGAAGACGTCAATTTCCCAGCAACTAACCGTCAGTGCTTACGGACCTGACACTCAAAAGTATTTGCACATCTCTCAACAGTTCAATATATCTAATATCTTGTCAGCTTGAATGAGTTCAAGTGTCGATATGTAGCGCTAGGCTAAACTTTTGACTGTTGGTTGCTGACAGATTGATTCGTTAAAGCGTAGAAAGAGTGGTGGAATAGTGGTATCTGTGGTGCAGCTGATTAAAGCACGCACTCCCAGAAAGGTTGAAGTGCAGGTCCGAGTCCCGCGTGACGTCAAAGTTTTACAAAAAATCCCACAAATCGGATATTTTTGTCACAGTATAATACCTCTGTAAGCTGTTAAATAGAAAATATTTCGTTCATTTAATTATTTACATATTGAACGAAAAGCCTACCCAAACCCCCACCGCGTAAGCGGATCAAAGTAAGTCCGGAACAAATTGTGATCTCAGCTGCTTTAGCGCAATAAGAAAGGATTTTCTTAAGTAAAACACATTGACGAAACTTCGCTTTCGTATGATTACTAGTACTTGAGAGAAAAATTTTAAATGAGCGAGAAATGGTCTGCAGCAAATTCGTATTTCCAAATGGATAGGTCCGTCCCTACAGGGTCAACTGAACATTTGCTCTCACAAATGTGTCTATAAAATGACCTGAAAGAGAAGAATTATGAGACCCATCTGAGCCATACATATGATAATCAATTGTCGTTGGAAACTGCTCATGATAACATGAACATGTAAATTTCTTTTAGAGTTGTCTCATGTTTTTTTGTGATACTGACCCCAAAGTTAATGTTTCATTCATATACATTCATTTTGCCAGTAGCACGAAGTGGTAAAAGTAAATTAATTTGGCTAACATTTGAGCGGCTAAATTTATTTTCCATCGGCTTCATAGCACAGCCTTCATCACCCAAAAAATTGTTGTTCTCAAATTCTTTTGGTACCGCTTGATACAATCTGTATCACCACTGCGCGAAGGCGCGTTTTCTTAGCTGTGGTAACGGAGGGAACGTCACGTCTTCCCGTAAGTTTGCATAGGTGCCGTAGCAAAGGAAATATAAGAATCAGTTCATAACTTGAGGTTCTAAAAGCCATAATGATAACTGAATGATGGGTCAATAATAAAAAAGGCTTTTACGGACACTATTCCTATAGAAAATATGTGGTAGGAATCTCCTCATTATTTAGCCTTTCGCAAGGAAACACATTTCGATGTGTTAATGAGCATCTGTTTCTTGCCCTTTTCCAACTAATCATTTGATAGTATTTTATTAGTGTATTCGCAAGGAATGCGCAATCGAACAATACCAAAATCATCCAATTTCATTGAGAAATCGTATTTGAAAAGCGGATCGGCACGAACTTTTCACACAACCTAGTCATATTACTTTGCAATATTGCGCTCGTGGATACGTCTGTTTCACAATGACTTGGCAGCGCGGTCTGAGCTTAAGCCACTTTCACTCTCTGCATGCATTTATCTCAGCTCATAGGCTGTTTTGCCTTATACAATTTATTCAGTGATATTCAGTAACATTTGTGAGCTATGATACTGTTCTATGAAAATATTGCGTAGGACTCTTACTACTTGTAATCTTTTCGTTTTATCTTTATCTCTGTTGTCATGAAAGATATCTCAGTAGCTTTATCATTTGAAGTACACTTGTAAGCTGAGAAAGTTCCAGATCAGCAACCGTTATTGTGGAAGGCTGAAAAACGTCAGAGGAAGTTATTTTCGAATTAAAGCATAGAAACATCATTGTTGGTGCATTCATATTACAATGCCTTCCATGTTTGCGCAGAGATTTGAATACATACATTTACTTTTTTCTGAGTGGAGGAAATTTGGCAGAGGTTTTTGTGCAGCAAGGTAAATAGGCGAATTATATTTCACGATTAGAATAATCCGTATATTCGCAGTCCCTTCTAGTCTAGATGAGAAATGACGTCAATGTGAACTATGTCGGATGTGTCACTAAAGATTTCTTCTAAAGGGATTGTTTTCAAACAATTTTCATAATATTTGGAATTGTGGAATAATATTAATACTCTATGACATAGTATTGGGGGAATGTAAATTGGTGTTCATTATTTGCTTTTCACTGCTTTGAACTATGATGTCCAATCTTATTCTCCAAGCCTCGCAGATGTCATATCGCATCAATTTCATTGGAGCAGCAGTTTTTTAGAGACGTTGATACGTGTGACGTCGCTATACCAGATATTCCAATGTTTGACCCTGATGATAAAGCGAACTAAGTACGTAGTTATGTCATATTGCCTCGTTATAAAATCCGAGAAGATTTTTAAAGCATAGTCCGTTGCTGCAATACATCTCAAAATCAAGAGTTTCACTCACAAAAGTTTTCTCATTGTCCTTCAATACTTTGGATGACTACGAGTGGCGACTGTCGCAACAAATGCTTACTTTCAGATACAAACGTTGTAGTATGGCAGCCCGATTGGTGCTCTTCTAAATTCGGCATAAAAAGGAACTTTTGGTAGCTTTTGTTGTATGAATTTAATACTATAATATGTGTCACTTGTGAAGGAGGCGAAAGAATCGAACGTTAGCCGATTTAAGTTCATGTAATGACTTGGTGGCATTAGCTATCCATAACAAGAGAACAGAATCAATTTTTCTCTTCATAGTTGTTACGTGGAGTATGTTTCAGCTACATAAAAAGATCTTTTTCTTGTAGCGTTAATCATTTACTACATTATACTTCATGATAATGTGCTATCATCATAACATCTCTCCATCCCTGCTATAAGTGATGTTTAGTATTGAACGTGCGGCTCTGATGAACCGGATTATACCGCAAACCGCAAAAAACGTACCTAAACCATTGAGGTACCAACCTTAAAAAGCCTCCAATATTCTCACTGGCTATAGTGAGTATTCAGTCATAAAATTCCGCCACTTTTTTGATGCCTGGAAAGTTCGTATTAATTGTTGTTTCAGATTTTTTTCGATGACGGTTCTGATCAACATGTACAAGCATTACTCGGTATAATTGGCGATGATGCAATGAGAGCTACAATAGTCATCTTTACTATCAATTTGCATATACGTTCCTTATTTGGTCGTTCAATATCCTGTTTGAATGGTCTGACCGGAATAGTTTGTATTTCAGATCTTCGATTACTACAACAATGTACCGCGATTCACTGGAAAAGTTGACTTCTTGAAAGTTCTTCCTCTGGCTGGGCAATCGATTGCTCCTAATGGAATCGACGTTAGTAGTAGAAGTTCGACGGATTACAATATGTTTTGGAGATTGTCATGCAATATCAACTATTAGCCCTTACCCGAGACAAATATCCTTGCAATCATTGTACGTCAAAATTTTCGTGTTTATATCTTTGCTACGGTTGTACCGGTGTAGCTTATTTAGTTTCGATAATGAATGATGTATTGCGGCCATACGTTTGGTAATATCTTCTGAGGTCTCTTTTTTATGCCCAGGACTTTTTTGTGGAACTGTTATCACTTAATATGCACTTCACTTTGATTTTCCTTATCCTGGTTTCCTATGTTACTGTTACTGTTTTTGCCATTTTTGAGACGAGATGAAGAGAAGAGACGCTTGTCTCCGCAGACACTCGAGCTGATACGTCAACGTGGAATCGCACGAGCCGCAGGCAACCGAAACCTTACGTCCGAACTTGCGAAACGATGCAGAGAAGCGATAAAAGAAGGCCTTAAAGAGAGAAGAGCAGCAGTTATGGCAGAAGCTGCAGAAGCTGGGAAAGAGCATTCGCAAAGCCCAGCGAGGCTTCGCCAACTATAAGACCAAGATGATTGCACTCCGATACCCTGATGGGACACTTACAGCTTCCAGAAGGGCTATGGAGAAAATCATCCACCAGTACTACTCGGATCTCTTCGCTAGCCATGTTCTCTTACCGTCATATAAATTGAAAGAGGACGAATATGTCGTTCCACCGGTCCTTCCTTCCGAAATCCGACATGCTATATCGTCGGTGAAAAAAGAGAACAACACCCGGTCCAGACAGGATTAGACCAGAACATCTGAAGAATCTGCCGCCAGTTCTCATCAACACCCTGGCTCGGCTCTTCACTCGCTACCTGTCAGAATGCAAGGTCCCTATTCAATGGAAAACCAGCAAGACCGTATTGTTGTTCAAAAAGGGAGACCTTCACGACATAGGCAATTATCGCCCAATCTGCTTGCTGTCCGTGTGTCTATAAACTCTTTACTCGAGTCATCCTGAACAGGATTGACAGAACACTGGACGAAGGACAGCCATGCGAACAAGCAGGGTTCAGAAAAGGATTTAGTACCATGGACCACATCCACACGATCACAAGACTCATTGAAGTTTCGCGAGAGTACAAACAACCACTCTGTCTCACTTTTATCGATCTGAAAAAAGCCTTTGATTCAGTGGAAACAGAAGCGGTTATAGAGGCTCTGGATAACCAGGGCGTCCCTACTCGGTACATAATGATCCTTCGTGAGCTTTATAAAGATTTCACGACCAGAATATCTCCATTCTACAACAATATCACCATTGACGTAAGAAGAGGGGTTCGACAAGGCGATACAATATCGCCAAAACTATTCACTGCCACCCTACAAAACGTCATGCGAACATTAGAATGGGACGAAATGGGAGTGAAAATTGACGGTCGACAATTAAACCATCTTCGCTTTGCTGACGATATCGTTCTCATAACACCAAACATCAGCCAAGCGGAACGAATGTTGACTGATTTCGATAACGCCTGTGGAAAGATCGGTCTTCAACTGAATCTAACGAAAACAATGTTCATGAGGAACGGATGGGTTTCTAATGCCCCATTCACGCTCAACGGAACGACAATTTCCGAATGCTCCACTTACATCTATCTAGGTCGTGAAATCAACATGATGAACGACCTAGCCCCAGAGTTGAGCAGGAGGAAACGAGCGGCTTGGGGAACGTTTAAGAGCATCGAAGATGTAGTGAAGAGGACAAAGAACATCCGACTCCGTGCCCACCTTTTCGACTCGACAATTATCCCTGCCCTAACGTATGCAGCAGAAACCTGGTCGCTACGTAAGCAGGATGAAAGAACACTTGCCGTTATCGAACGCGCAGTCGAAAGGTCGATGCTAGGAGTATCTCGTATTTCGCAAATGAGATAAAGGATCCGAACTTCCGACCTACGTCAACGATCGAAAATCAGAGACGCCGTTCTACACGCCAGGATATCGAAAATAAGGTGGGCCGGACACGTGATGCGCTTCAACGACAACCGATGGACGAGAGCCGTTACCGACTGGATTCCTCGGGCTGTCAAGCGCTCTAAAGGAAGACCACTGACCCGTTGGTCCGATTTCTTCACGAAAGCGATGGAAGAAAGATATGATGCTCAGCGAATTCCTAGAGCAAGGAGGGCTCACTGGGCTACTCTTGCACGCGATAGGGGAAAATGGAAGAGTTGCTGGTACCCGCTCGAGTCACTCGACGATCAACGGGACGACAGGTGATACAGGTGGTTTCCTATGACCAGCTCAATGCTGAAATACGAGCAAGACGGAAAACCTAAGATGTTCAAATCGTCCTATCACCCTACAAAAGTGCGCACGTGTTATCTGTTGTGCCACCAGAGTTCTTGCTCTTGACTTCCTTCCAATTATGTTTTGACGAGTCCTTTGTAAATTCTTGCAATTTGTGGAGTCAAATAAATATATGACGGACTTATGTCTCTCTGATATTTTAGAATCTTTCCGTACTTCGTCCCCTCACTCGCACCAGAATACGCAGTGCTTACTTCGATATTCCAAATTTTCATGATGATGGGTTGGGTATGCGCTTTTTGAAAAATACCTTTAAGTTTGAGTCATTTTCCGCTGATGCTGAAAATGTTATATGTTAACTTTCAGACTTTCCTTCGGTTAGAGGGTGTTTTTGGTCGCTTCGGTTGTTGAAAGTGCTTCAGATTTATCAGATATCTCATATATCCCATAATCTTATCAGAATAGAGGGGTTTTTTACTCAAGACTGTTGCACCAATCGATCTCATGCAGTTGGTTGGTGTGAAAATGAATCCGGTATCAGCAGTTACTCTGATGAGTGCCGTTAATATTGAGCTCACACTTTAAGTCGCTTTATCGTTTCCAGCATCACTGGGAATAAGGTAGTACATATTTCGCATGCTATTTCGCCTGATTTTTCGAAGTTATTTACTAGGGCAAACTGCTGCTGCTAATATGTGTGGTCTAGGAGAAGATGTAAAACTACTAGTCACGCATGGCCGTGCTAATTTTAGCACTTTATAAATGCCTAAGAGAAATGAGTGATGAGCAAAAGTGCTATTTCAGGCGGGAATCGAACCCGCGTTTCATTCCTACTGGGGACGCGTGCTACCACTCACCACCGAGATACATTCGCGCCACCACTCATTCTTCAACATCTTTATGTTAGCTGTCAACCAACAGCCTTTAACAGGTTTCGTCGTATATGCGATTTCATTTTATAAACCCAGTTGAGCTAACAGCCGTTATGACAAGTATTACTCTAAATCTTTGATGTTTTTACTGCATTTTCGCAGTGTTATGATGTTTCATAAATACCTAAGAGAACTGAGAAGTGAGCAAAAATACGCGGGTTCGACTCCCGGCTGAAGTCGTGTTTTTGCTCACCACTCAATTCTCTTAGATATTTATAAAAAATCATAACATTGCGAAAAAGCAGTAAAAACACCAATATTCCGAGCACTTTATTTGATCCGTCATCACAGTCTATCTTTTTCATTGTGCTGTTCCAGTACTTTCAGCATTCAATTCGTTTTTTCGTCTTCTTCTTGAACTGCGTAGAATTGTCCTTGCAATCTCGAGGATAACCTTTCTATCTGTGGCGTTCTATAGGACGTCGTCGTCGACTGCCGGAGTGAGTTGGTGGTGGAACTCGGCTCTACGCGCACCTCGACGAGCATCACAATCATTCGGTCACAGCGCCGCAGCAGTTTTTAAAGAGACTTTGAAGGGTTTAATCACAAATCAACCTGATCAAACTGCTTGCACCAATCTAGTAAACAATAATCCACAAGCATTTTTTGCTAGAGAGAGCTATTCGCCCGAATTTTCAGTTAGTATTCAAAAGCTTGAAATTTTTGACACTGCTCTCGCTTCTTAGGAAGAGCTCATCTTATTTTTTAAAGATTGGTTCAAATATTTCAATTGATAATAAGGAAATTCAGATGTGTTCTAACCAGTTCGCCTGGCAGTTTCACGTCTTTTCTAGTATAAATTTCCGCTTCCGAATGTGTCGTCGAGAGACAAAATCCTTTGAAGGGATGATGAAGTCCTATGATGATGTTTCGTAGTAGCCATTCATTACACAGCATTGCGACTCGGCAGTACAACTTGTAGCCAAATGCACCATGTCTTATGGTATCAAGTCCATGATTTTACTTCAAGTCACCTCCTCTGTATACTGTCTGTCGCTGGTCCTGATTTTCTGCTTCCTTTCTACTTAATTGTGACCTCTCGTTTGCATATTCGAGAATTTTCTTTATCCTATTTTCCTAGCGTTTTCATATCTGCTCTTCTACATTTTCTTCTACTTTTTTACTCTAATGTTCAATTTAGATAAGTAAGGATTCCTAATCGTGATCGACTAGATTTTTTTTCCACGTTGGTCTATGTTTCTGCGAGCGTTTGTGTATCCTGCATTCCAAGCTTTGCTCGTTTTTTTGCAATTCTTATCAAATTTAGATAGTCTCGCTCAACCTCTAATTTCTACTTCTTTTTTGGAGAAATCTTTACGATCTCACTTGTTTGCAAGTAGATGGCTATATCACAATTTTCTCATTCGGCCTTTGATTGGTCTCCGTTGACTTGATCGTTCAGTGAAAAAAGATAGAACGAGAGAGAGAGCAAATAAGCACATTTCGAATTTAAGCCTCGTAAATGATGTAGTGCAAAAGAGAAATGTTCATGTCGATTTTGTCTGATGTCCACTTATGTCTCCTTTGGGTCGATTCGGTGTAGATGACATTCTATTCGGCTTCAGCAGTTCCTAATGTGCATTTGTGATAATAAGATGCAGCTGACTAACTGTGAACAGCTATTTTGATGGTATCGTCATACGAAAGCAGAAGATGGCGAAACAGATTGCCTCTAAAACTATCGATTAAAAGGTATTGTTATATGCTCACTTAACAGCCGCAAGCCATAGGCTGAAAATCGATCTAGACTGCAACATCAAGTGATCTATTCACTTCGTCCAGACGAATACATTTTCGGCGCCGCTGCTATCAATAGTAAGTATGAGCCTTAGGGCATGTGTTACTGATGAGGTCTGCGAGAAAGCCAAAACGTATGTAAATCATCGAGATGCCATACCAGGTCTCTTGAATTTCCGAAAACATTCCATTAGGCTAACGAAGTCTGTTGTTAATGCCTGTTTTTCCAGCATCCTTTCTACCTGATCGCGATTTCTCGTTCCTGGTAATCATTGTTTGACCCATGCGCGAAGTCTGTTATGGGCAAAGTTATGAAGCTCGATACACGTGTTTCGGCCCTGACAGCATCGTCAGTCGGGAAACATCCTTCGTCTCTAGCCAGTCCTCTTAGGGGAACCCACTCCCTACATAGCGTTGGCGACGGCAAACATTCTGCACGTGCCAATAAGTGGAAATATCACAAAATGAACAATGTTTCACACGCTGTTGCTCTTGGCTGGTATCGTGAAATATATGATACCTTTCGTTAGACATATTAGAATTTGAGCGTGGTCCAGGGAAAGAAGTGAAGGGTAGATGTGTTCAACGATGCCAGCCAAAAGCAATCGAGTGTAGCACACTGTCCATTCAGTGATATATACACTTAATGGCACGTATAAAGTGTTTGCTGTCGACGACTTTATGTAGGGGTTGGGTTTTTTCCGAGAGAATTGGCTAAAGACGATGTTTATTGCCCGACTGATGAGGCCGTCAAGGCCGAAACACGTGTACCGGGCTCTATTAACTTGCCCGTAACAGACCACATGCATGGCGCAAGAAATGGTTATCAGGAATACTGAAAATTAAGCGTGGTCTTATGAAAACACCCGAAATGAAATGTATCATATATTTAACATCTCGTGATTATATTCATGTATATATTCGTGTCCATATTATACATAATATATATATATATATATATATGAATATTGTATTGTTACTACATTGTGTACTATTTCATTGAACTGTGAATGAGATATGCTCCAATAAAAACCCACCATTTAGACGGCTAGGAGCAACAGTAATTTGAGGGCATGAGGCTCTTTTTATCGTTGAATTGTTATTTCAAGCTTTCATCTCCTTCTTGTTGAACATTCTATGCGAACTCGATGACGTTTGAGTTACCCAGCGATTTTTCCTTCCTTTCAGAATTCTGCCCTGAGCTACTTGTTCTGGCACAATTCTGTAAATGTAATCATGCTTTACAATTTTTTTTTAGTTTTTTGAACTATTACGGATCAGTCAAGTACATCATCAAGTCAGCTATTGATACTTCGTCGGTGAACGATGATCGGACCGCTAGCGATTTAGCATCACTTCGAGTTTTTGTCCCCTTTCAATGTACGTAATAGTAGATAGTAAAATCTAAGTCAATTTTGCCTGGCGGCGTTTCGTTCTTCCTTCTGGTTGTTGGACAGGGCACATTCCATATAACATCACTTGGTTGAGCTGTTTTGAGAAGTTGCAGTTGACACAAACTCCACACAGCCATTTACTTGGTATTGCCGGAGAAAACTCAAAAGCTTGATATAAGTGCCAATTTAGTGACAGTTCAGAGATTCTGCATACTTTCCCAGATCATCGATTGATTTTCTAGAAAGCCTTTGCTAATGTTCATCTTGTTCTTGTAAGCTATGACGCAGTCTAGTGGACTGTTCTTTAGTCCATGCTATAAGTGTTCAAGTTTTTTTTTCCTTCTGTGATTTATTGACATAAGTTATCTGGGCATTTTACGTGAGTGCTATATGATTTCTTAGATGACGTGTAATAGTACGCTAGTGATACAAACATACGGATTTTTCGATGGTGAAACGGAAAAGATTCAGTGTGTATGTATAGAACATAGTGAACACAGCGTTTTGCCTTCATTGGTACAATATGACCACGATTGGTCAAAAATCATGGCTACTTTTCAAATACCTCTAGAAAACTCTCAAGTATGCGTCAATTCTCAGTGCTAAAATTTCACACCAAATCACCATGAACTGGCACGGTTGCTTTGTAGTTGTCGCAGATTTCCTCGGAAAAGTTTTGCAGACCAACAAAATTCTATTCGACTAAGAATTTTGCTGGTGTTCGTTTTAGTAACCAAGACTGACAAACAAGATAAATGATTATGATAAAGTATCAAATTGCTTCTTATCCGCCTTTGAGCATGAGGAATGCTAGTGAAGAAATTAAATAATAGAAGTGCTGGAAGCCACACTTGCGATTTAGAGTCCTGTGAAATAAACATTTATCTCTCGGCCTCAATATTCAACATACTTGCTTCTTTCGAAAGGCATGAAAACGTTTCTACTCACCTTATAAATGAAACTGCTTTTTCGACTATTTATAGTGGCATTTCTGATTGTTCGCATAGCACTCTATCAAAAAATGCTCTCATCTTGGCTGAAACGCCTATTTATAGCGATGAGACAACCGGGGGCAGATAGGTGAGCTCAGTCGTGATACTTTTTCCTTTTTTTTTGATGATGTTAGGATATAGGTCCAAATTAGACAGCAAAATCGTTTAAGATGTTGCGCAGTTGAGCAAATAGTTGCGCAGACAGTCGAGTTGATAGACGGTGAAATATTTGAATGGCTAGACAGGCAATCAAATGGCTCGGCGGTATTTAAACTGTATGAGAAAAAGGCAGACAGAGCTAGACGACAAGATGCAGTTGAATAGTTAGACAATGAAACAAATACAGTCAAAATTTTTAACGGTTCCATGGAAGGTCGTATGGTTAAGCAATTAGACAGGAAGGGAAAACAGAAGACTGAATAACTAGACCATTAGCCAGTTATACTCTAACACTTTAGCTCTATGTCCAATCCGTCATCACAGTGTATTTTCACTGTGCTAGTGTGCAGTTCCAGTACTTCTAGCATTCAGATCGCTTTCTCCTCTTCCTCTTGAACGGCGTAGAATACTGGTTGGCGGGTCTCCTCGCATTCTCGAGCGTAGTCTTGCTGTGGCATTGTATAGAGCGTTGTTGCTGACTGCCGGTGAGAGTTCGGGGGGAGGGGGTGGAGCATGGCTCCATGAGCGCCTCGACGAGCATCACAACCACTCGGCCACGGCGCACCAAACAGAAATACGTCTAGATACTTGAGCATTCAAGCAGGAGATTGCCAGAAGTAGTGGTTCCACGCAGCACGGATGTTGTATGGAT